TTCATTACCTTAATTAAGAGCATAAACTCGAGAAGCCTTCTAGCGGATGGGGGCAGCAGTCGCGCATAGGTTAATGACACACGAGTGAAGAGGGCGTGAAACAGCCGGTCCCGTATGTTCACCAATGGGTTGTCGTTAGTCGCACCACCACCGCCGCCGCCACCGGCTACTCCCACCGCCCTTTCGGCAACGGCCGCAATGTCAGCGAGGTTCAGACCGTTGTCACGTACCATCGGAACGCCATTCGTAGCCATGGCAGATTATAAACCACCCCTCAACCGCAACATTTCCTCATACATGGCAAAGGTTCAACGGCGGTCACGTTTCGTATTGGGCCTGTAAACATAAAATTGGTATACAGACGCGTTGTTCATATTTATATTAAAATAGCGGAATGTTTCAGTTAGGCAAGTTTTCCACAAAAAGAAGAAGAAAACAAGAAACGCTCAAGAAGCTGGCACTCATCTTCAGAACGTCACATAATCGATCTTTTCATTACCTGTAGAAACGATAATGGAAACGTAGGGCTTATTAAAATATGACATAAGTCTTATCCAGTTCACTGTGAACATTTTCTATCGCTTAACAATTGTTCTGAACAGCAAACACACCGCGCATCAACTTACCACAGTTGGTCTGTCTTTATAACTACAATTACAAAACAACGTAACAACTGCTTCGAAATTTATAGCATTAATCTTCAGAACCAATAACTCACTTTAATGTTAGTAAGAGACCGTAAAAGATTGGTCCATAAGAAACGTCACTACACTCATATTTTACAAGATGGGCTAACCGAAAAAAGCGCGCATCTCGGACATTATAATTTCCAGCACTGACCAGTGTGATGGGCATAAGAATTCAGCAATCGAATGTACTTCTGTTATTAGTGTCCAAAGAGCCATCTGTCAATTGACTTTGCAACCTTTAACGACGGCTTTGTTGGGTTTTCGTTTTCTGCGACGAGAAAATTACTCGTGAGGATATCAAATTTGTATATTTTTAACTACAATTCCGCATCAGCTTCTCTGACGTTGCTCGAAAACGAAGGAACAAGACACCTATAGTCAAGCGTATATTTAGCAAAGAAAAGAACCCGGTAGCCGTAGAAATGTAAAAGACATACATATGTACAGACGTTTTGCAAATTATTCTTATACCACCGCCTACTGCAAGTACGATTTGCAAATTACACGCACATTCAGACTTAGTTATTCGAAGCGAACGAACTTTGTAAAAGTCGCATATTCACTGAGTTCACACTGGACGAGCCTGCACCACCCGTTATAAATTCGGCAAAGTGTATATAGAAGATACCGGGAACATAATTCGTCCCAGATAGAGCTTTAGAATTTAGCAGGATTGAATAAATATATGATGATAATGATCCATTAATGCATGAACTAGAGAAAACAAAATTTCCAAAGACTAACAAAAAGAAAGTACCACATCAGAAATGGCGATCCATATCAGACTGAAGACCGTGCAGAATTGAAACGCAAAGCAGAAAATAACTCGATCTTCGTGACAAGCACTGAACAGGTGCTTTACATTTCATTTAGAATGCATGAGACACATATTACACGAAAAGAATTGCTGATTATGATCGACATGATAAGTGCTAGAAATGATGACAAAATTAAACAGTTGTGATGAAGGTTTCTGTGGTAGAAAATAAAAACAGTAAATAATTTGATGGAACGGAATCAGATGAGCACTCTTTTAATGAAGCCTATCGTAGTAGACTCAGAGCATCATTATTAACTTTTGTAGCTAACGATTTACTTACTTTTTATAATAAATTAACCCTAAAAACTATTACATCTTTTCAAGGTAAAAGATTTCAGCGTTCGTAAGATCCGATTATTCGAATTTATTTCAAGCAGGAACAATCATAAAACATAAACTAGAATAAAAGAGCTTTCCGCTAATATTTCAGAAGCAATTCACGGTCGACTTCAGAAACAAATCCCCGGGAAAAACGAGTCCACGCGATGCCTACAACTAACTTGCACCGAGATGGCATTTTGATCCGGTTGCTGCTGTTGTATTCATCGTCATCTAAATCTAACAGAGAATAAGCAGCAGGATGCAGCCAATTTTTATACTAAGGGCTAAATATCAGGTCGCAAACTTTATGCTTCATACTTTCTACTTGTTTCATATTTTTATATTTGTTACTTATTTTGTTGTAGCAAATATTATTTGCTACGACATCTAAAATATCTAAACAGCCTATTACCATGCCTCATTATTGAAGAGAGAAAAAAGTGGCTTCCTGTCCTTCTTGAATGTAGTAGTAAAACTCCATCGGCAGCGATTCTGACCATGATGTTTGGCAAGAAGACGCATGCTGAGAAGCATCCTGTCCTCACATTATCCGGATTGAATAGAAAAGGCATCGTTAATACAATTCTCAAAAATGGAAGGAAGATAGGCAGAACAAATATAGATCTTCGAAACAACTGATCAGTGTGTCTAAGGTAGAGCTGAGTATGAAGAAAAAACTGACCGTATCTAAATTAATTTCCATCCCCATGCTCGACATAAGTAGTGGGCCATGATTCAGAAACTTAATTATCGGTTGAAATTAGTTATCTGAGACAAGTCAAGTCAACTCCACCATTGTCAAGTAGGAAGAAGGTTGTAGACCGTGGCAAGTATCCGTATAATTTAGCCACCTGGCATTCATGATATTGACGCCATCGAAATTTATACTGATTCGGTCGTCGGCCGGGCTACCAAGGCCTGCGCAGCCTCTTGGAAGACTGAGGCAGACTGCCAAAATTCGGCTGTCAGAACCTGCTCATTGCTCTCTGCCAGCCGGGGGCGTAGCAGCTCAAGGAAGACCGACGAAACGACGACGAAGATATCAGTCAGCAACGGAGTCGCTACCCGTTCTGAACAGAGGAGGCAGACAGCACGATGCCATTACAGCACGTCAGAAAAGTCTCCAAGAAAACGACACCACTATTGGCAACATATCCTCACTCAGAGGAAAACAACATGAATTAGTTGATGAAGCCACGAAGTACCAACTCGACATTGTTGAACTCTCGTCAATGAAACGCCCAGGCTCTAGACTCCTGAACCTCAATGGATGGAAGTTGTTCTATTCAGGCGTCGATATCACGACTCGAGCCCAGGCCGGTGTT